TGTAAAAGCACGTAAAACGTTCTATGTAAAACCACGTAAAACGTTCTATGTAAACCATGTAAAGTGTTCTATGTAAACCATGAAAAACGTTCTATGTACAACCATGTAAAACGTTCTATGTACAACCATGTAAAATGTTCTATGTACAACCATGTAAAACGTTCTATGTACAACCATGTAAAACGTTCTATGTACAACCATGTAAAACGTTCTATGTACAACCATGTAAAACGTTCTATGTAAAAGCACGTAAAACGTTCTATGTAAAACCACGTAAAACGTTCTATGTAAACCATGTAAAGCGTTCTATGTAAACCATGTAAAGCGTTCTATGTACAACCATGTAAAACGTTCTATGTACAACCATGTCAAACGTACTATGTAAACCATGGAAAGCGTTCTATGTACAACCATGTAAAACGTTCTATGTAAAACCATGTAAAACGTTCTATGTACAACCACGTTCAACGTTCTATGTACAACCATGTAAAACGTTCTATGTAAAACCACGTAAAACGTTCTATGTACAACCATGTAAAACGTTCTATGTACAACCATGTAAAACGTTCTATACATGTACAACCATGTAAAACGTTCAATGTACAACCATGTAAAACGTTCTATGTACAACCACGTAAAACGTTCTATGTAAACCATGTAAAACGTTCTATGTACAACCATGTAAAACGTTCTTGACTACAACCATGTAAAACGTTCTATGTACAACCACGTTCAACGTTCTATGTACAACCATGTAAAACGTTCTATGTAAACCATGTAAAACGTTCTATGTACCACCATGTAAAACGTTCTATGTACAACCATGTAAAACGTTCTTGACTACAACCATGTAAAACGTTCTATGTACAACCACGTTCAACGTTCTATGTACAACCATGTAAAACGTTCTATGTAAACCATGTAAAACGTTCTATGTACCACCATGTAAAACGTTCTATGTACAACCACGTAAAACGTTCTATGTACAACCATGTAAAACGTTCAATGTACAACCATGTAAAACGTTCTATGTACAACCACGTAAAACGTTCAATGTACAACCATGTAAAACGTTCAATGTACAACCACGTAAAACGTCCTATGTACAACCACGTAAAACGTTCTATGTACAACCATGTAAAACGTTCTATGTACAACCACGTAAAACGTTCTATGTACAACCATGTAAAACGTTCTATGTACCACCATGTAAAACGTTATATGTACAATCATGTAAAACGTTCTATGTACAACCATGTAAAACGTTCTATGTAAAACCATGTAAAACGTTCTATGTACAACCACGTTCAACGTTCTATGTACAACCATGTAAAACGTTCTATGTACAACCATGTAAAACGTTCTATGTACAACCATGTAAAACGTTCTATGTAAAACCATGTAAAACGTTCTATGTACAACCACGTTCAACGTTCTATGTACAACCATGTAAAACGTTCTATGTACAACCATGTAAAACGTTCTATGTACAACCATGTAAAACGTTCAATGTACAACCATGTAAAACGTTCAATGTACAACCATGTAAAACGTTCTATGTACAACCACGTTCAACGTTCTATGTAAACCATGTAAAACGTTCTATGTACAACCATGTAAAACGTTCTTGACTACAACCATGTAAAACGTTCTTTGTACAACCACGTTCAACGTTCTATGTACAACCATGTAAAACGTTCTATGTAAGCCATGTAAAACGTTCTATGTACCACCATGTAAAACGTTCTATGTACAACCACGTAAAACGTTCTATGTACAACCATGTAAAACGTTCAATGTACAACCATGTAAAACGTTCTATGTAAAACCACGTAAAACGTTCAATGTACAACCACGTAAAACGTTCTATGTACAACCATGTAAAACGTTCTATGTAGAACCACGTAAAACGTTCAATGTACAACCATGTAAAACGTTCTATGTACAACCATGTAAAACGTTCTATGTACAACCACGTAAAACGTTCTATGTACAACCATGTAAAACGTTCTATTTAAAACCATGTAAAACGTTCTATGTACAACCACGTTCAACGTTCTATGTACAACCATGTAAAACGTTCTATGTACAACCATGTAAAACGTTCTATGTACAACCACGTAAAACGTTCTATGTAAAACCATGTAAAACGTTCTATGTACAACCACGTTCAACGTTCTATGTAAAACCATGTAAAACGTTCTATGTACAACCATGTAAAACGTTCTATGTACAACCATGTAAAACGTTCTATGTACAACCATGTAAAACGTTCTATGTACAACCACGTTCAACGTTCTATGTAAACCATGTAAAACGTTCTATGTACAACCATGTAAAACGTTCTTGACTACAACCATGTAAAACGTTCTATGTACAACCACGTAAAACGTTCAATGTACAACCACGTAAAACGTTCTATGTACAACCACGTAAAACATTCTATGTACAATCATGTAAAACGTTCTATGTACAACCACGTAAAACGTTCTATGTAAAACCACGTTAAACGTTCAATGTATGGCCCGTAGTGTCTCCATAAGAAACTAGGTTTGCAGTATCAACTCTTAGTGTTAACTTTTTAAATGAATGAATAAATACTTAGGTTATTTTGCAAAACAAATATCCACATTGAACGAACGCTTGCAGATGCAAATGTAACACGAAGTGTCACCATATGAAGATTAGGGTTGCAACCCTTAGTGTTACTGGTTGAAGTTATAATAGCTATTTGCCATTCTCTTTTATTTTGTTATAAAGATATTCCGGTTTTCTTTTAAGTCATATCATAAATGTTCTGATAATAAAATTGCCAAAGATACATGTAAGTAGTGTAGATAGATTGATGTTGAATAAATATTGTGGCATATTTTATGTTTATTGTTCAATTTTGTGACTGTTCTTGACTACAACCATATGTATCTGGTCACTAGCTTCTGGGTAAGGAAACTATCACGTATTGAAAACGGGCAGTGCATAAGAGTTAAATGTTTTGTAGCTTTGGGAGTACACAGACGCCAAGTTTATCTTTGCAGTCAATATGCTATCGTGATCAAGTTTTTGGTGAGATCATATTTCTATCACTCTCATTACTTGAACCTCTTCTAAACTCGAAATGACAAGCATTCTCCATAGAACTGTCAGTGCTGTGCTGACAATTCATGAATACAGAAAATCATAATAAGAAACAAAGTAATAGATTGAACAATTATTGCATCCATACTTGAGAATCTTCCAATAAAAGTTAAATACTATTTAATATAAATAAAGCAGTAACCCTTTCAAAATCCAAGAGTCAAATTGTACGATTCCGACTATATCCTAAGCATGTGTTTATGAATAACAATCAAACAGTGATGACACAGGGGTGAAGCCAGAAGGGTGAGCGTCTCCTGCCCCCCGGGCGGCACCCGTCACATACACATTCAGGTGGTTCTGGTGGGGAAATCAGTGGAAGGGAATTGGATATTTGATTGTTATTGAACGATATCAGATCATAATATATATATATATATATATATATATATATATATATATATACCTGAAGCCTAAGGGAAAACTACTTAGCCAAATGAACAGAAATTCCAATTCATATGCATATAGACACAGGCCCGCACAATTGGTGCCCATGGGGATGCCTACTTCTTGCCTAAATGTCTTACCCCCACATTGTACGTGGATGTTATCAATGAGGATGTCCAGCATTTCACATAGTGTTTCCTCAGTAAACTCCAGATGGCATTTGCTTTCACTTTTCACAATTTGTCCTGAACCTCTGAGTATAAATACGTAACTGTATCTGTGTTCACCACGTTTTGTAACAAAAGCCCCATGGATCAAGGAAGTCCTTAAGTTTGTCATGTGGGATAGTGGTGTACAAAGTTGAAAAATTAAATGTTTTGAGGGAATGGAACTTGGTTCTGAGACTGCAAAAAGTCAAGCACATCCTTTGAGTTTTTGAGAATTCACATGGTATTAATTCCACAAATTTCTCAAATACTTTCTGTAAACATAAATAAAGTCCTTCCTTGATTGTATGAAGGATTATGGTAATATTCTTTGAAACAGGGATTTGGTGGTACATTTGCTGGACCCAGCAATATATCTCTCTAGGGGGCACGGGTGGCCCAGTCGTCTAAGGCGCCGCGATTCGCTGTGCAGAGTTGCGTCCCTTGGGTACGCCAGGAACCTATGATTGTGGGTTCGAATCCCGGTTCGCCCCGATTATGTTTCTAGGTTTGTCAGCACCATACCAGTGCTCGTGGGTTTCACCGAAGTGGTAAACGTCTGAGAACTGCATCACTTCGAGCTTTCCTCCAACATTAAGCTGACACTCCGCGATATAACTAAAAATACTGTTAAAATCTGCGTTAAACCCAACTCACTCACTCATATTTCTCTCTTTGTACGGATTTTTATGGAGCTTTGGAATCCAGTGCAAAAGAGGAATGGACATGTCTTCAGGTTTTAGAGTCAAGTATGGAACTTGAGAAAAAGCATAACCTTTGTATTGTTACCCTTCCTTGGTTAGGGTTAGGTTGGTTGGTTGGTTTGCTTGTTTGTTGTGTGTGTCTTCAGCAACCCAATGCGACTATGCTTGTCGTAAGAGGCGACTAACGGGATCGGGTGGTCAGGCTCGCTGATTTGGTTTGATGCATGTCATCGTATCTCAATTTCGTGGATCAATGCTCATGATATCATTCACTGGATTGTCTGGTCCAGACTCGATTATTTACAAACCACTGTCATGTAGCTGGTATATTGCTGAATGCGGCGTTAAACAACAAAGTGATGTCAGTGTGTCTCCCAGATCCTTGAAAATATATTAATAAACGAATCCAACTCAAGTCTAGAATGATTTGTCAAATCGAAATTGCCTCAACTCTGACATTAAGCATTGTTCTGTTGAATGCGGCGTTTAACTACACACAAAACAAACAAGAAACTGGCAGTTTTGATAACTGGAAATAGACAGAAAAAAAACAACAGAAAAATGTATGTCGACTTTAGCATGTGAAAGAGATCTTCTTAGAGCTTTATGTAAATTCCGTTGTTTAAGCCATAATCTGAAATTACAGATAACTCGATTTAATACACCAACGAAGTAACCGCTATGAAATAGAAAATGAATACCATTTTTTGTTAATTTGTCCTTTTTATAACAGTAGTAGAGAAAATGTAATTCCAAAATGTTATCATGTGCAACCATCTGTTCCAAAATTTATCAGTCTTCTATCTACAAGAAATGATTCTGTTATGAAAAACCTGTCCATATATTTAAAAAGACATTTACCTATGTAAATACAAATGTAAAAAATATGAACGTTTGTTGTAAGAAAATATGTGCATGTGCATAGCATATATTATTCATGTAAATGAACTCTGGGCCATGTGGCCTTCATTCATGAATAAACTTCTTCTTCTTAATAAACAGCTAGAAATTAGAAAGGTGAGGTCAGGTGAAATTGGGTTTAACGTCGCGTCCGAGATTATTGCACTTATATAGCGACGTGCATGCATGTGTGTGTGTGTGTGGTTGCTTGTACCGGTCCGGACTGATGCCGATTTATAGTGCTAGCACACTGAGATACCATGCCGCAGTTTAACATGAATACCCCACTCAGACATAGTATACTGACTCCGAGCCGACCAGTACTTTTTTTAGCCCCTTAATGCCGAGCGCCAGACAGGGTAACAACAAGTACCATCTTTTAACATAATTTTGGTATGACGCGGCCTGGGATCGAACCCCGAACCTTTCGCTCTCCGGGCGGACGCTATACCACTCGACCACGGAGACAGCTACAATTAGAAAGACGTCAGTGTACATCATCGTATGTCCCCTCAGACTACAACATGTCACACCAATGTCCCTATAATTTGTTGCATGTCGGACACAAATGTGTTTCCACAATCTAACATTGTGACTATTCTGCAGACATTCTTATGTAGAAAGGTCAATTAATGGTTGTCTTGTTTTAAATCAAATAATTTCTCACTTTGAAGTTAACACGCTTTCCATGACGATTCGATAAGAAGCTGGTCACATGACTTCAAACTGGGGGTTCACAGTTGTTAGGGTTGAAATCTTTACCCCCTACTGACACTGGAATAAGCCATTCCTTACAATATTCCACCCAAGTACCCTAAGTTCATGTGCGATGCTAGAGTCCTACGAGGGTGAGGTGATATAACATTCAACAAGTCTCCAAAATGTTGTACAGTTACTATGCTTGCCGTAAAAGGCGACTAACGGGATCGATGCTCCAGATATTAATCACTGGATTGTCTGGTAAATAGTAGGGCTGCAACGATACAGGAAGGTCACGATACGATACGCATCTCGATATTCTGGTCGTGATACGATACGTGTCTCGATACGCAATGATAAAAGAAAAAACTTAAAGCATGTCAAGATTGAACCTTTCATGATTTTGGAACAGTCAAAATTATTTTATAATAACAAGACTACTGAAGTGGTTAGGCTTCAAAGTGGAACTTTCCCTAACTTTCCTTCAAAACAATTCAAAGTTCAAACACCAGAAAATAATTAATGTACTTCACCAGTGATACAACTTCAAAGAATTGTGGTGCAATGGTCGAATAAATTGTATCTGAAATTATTTTTTTATCAAGAACAATATACTCCAATATCGTGTTACTTTAGTTGCAGCTTTTACTATATATATTCTTAAAATTATAAGAACCACAAGCGTAGGATTTTGGTACTGGTGATTGCTGTTGCAGGATATTTTTACGTATGGAACAATTTGACCAGTCACCGTAGGGACTTCCCGCGCTACATGTATTTCGATTGCGAAAAGGTTCAGATATACAATGAACACGTTTTAATAACAAGATAGTATAATAATGGTATTGAATTGCGTACTTCAGTTCGGATTTGCAAACTGGTATTTTCGGTGTAATGTGCTTGCGGTGATCAGCTGACAATTTTTTTGAGATGGGGAAAAACGCCTGTCAGTGTAAAACCCGAGCTTATTAAAAATGTAAGTACGTGTTTTGGAGCCATGCGTTACCGCGCGCTATAACCAAGTTAGCGGTTTATTGAAAGGCACAATAGCGACGAAACGCTGTACTTGAGATTTGCGTTCCGTATCGTGGCGTATCGATAAATGGGCCCACGTTTATCGTATATCGCATCGCGCGGGGCAAGTATCACGATGCATCGGAATATCGGGTGTATCGTTCAACCCTTAGTAGTGAGTGAATATGGTTTTACGCCGCTTTTAGCAATATTCCAGCAATATCACGGCGGGGGACACCAGAAATGGGCTTCACACATTGTACCCATGTCGGGAATCGAACCCAGGTCTTCGGCGTGACGAGCGAACGCTTTAACCACGAGGCTACCCGACCGCCCCTCAACCCTTAGTAAATAGTGATATAAAAATGATAAGAACTGACTTTCACTTTGCGTGAGTTCATTGGAGTATGAACCTTCATAGATAGAGGGACAAAACTGTATGAACATTGGAGCCTGCGACGTCATTCATACACTGTCAATATGACTTATGAACAACAATGTCGTGGTCATGTGACCGACCTCTAATTCAATGGAAAAGCTGTATATCATGTAAACCTCAAATTAAAAGTATATATATATACATACCAAATACCAATTCTACTGGTATGTTTATTTGTATACAATAACTCTAAAACACTTATTCTAATCACTCGCTTCATCATACATTAATTCATACAAGCTAAGTTTGGTGCGGAACTTTAAAGAGCCAAAGTATACATGAGACATGTACGCATTATATTCACTTACACGATAGTGAGTGAGTTTGATATTAGGGCGCTTTTAGCAATATTCCAGCAATATCACGGCGGGGGACACAAGAAATGGGCTTCACGCATTGTACCCATGTCGGTAATCGGGTCTTCGGCGTGACGAGCGAACGCTTTGACCACTAGGCTACCCGACCGCCCAACTTACACGATAAGATCATTAGCATATACACATGGGAATGTTATTAATTAGCTAAAATAAACATATACACAGTAAAAAATGTGTTGCACCCCCACATTAATACGTTTGATACATCACAACATTTAAAACGCCCGACTCTGGTTTTAATGGTAGGTATTCCTTGGGGATCTGATGTTAAATGTGTAATGTTTTCGGAGGGAAGATGATCACCAAAACATAGCAATCAGCACGTGAATTGCATGGTGCATGACATTTGCAGATTGCAGTATCTTCTTAAGCTCAACATCGCCTATAAAAGATGTTCTCTGACAGCCCAGTTTATTGTAACCCACAATGCCGGGTAGACGATTGTCAGAAGCAGTCAAGTGGCAGATTATTGGCCTTCATGGAGCAGGTCTTTCGTTCAAGGAGATTGGCAGAAGAACCGGACATCACTACTCAACAATAAGCCGTTTGGTCAGAAAACACGCACAAACTAATGATGTAAGGAATCGCAGACCCTCTGGCAGACCACGTAAGACCACAGTTAGAGATGACAGAGCTTGTTGAGGGTGGTAAGGCTCCATCCATTTGCTACAAGCACAACCTTGAAACGTCTTTGGCTTCCTCGTCAACAGTTCAGTACCCAGACCGTGAGAAATCGTCTTAAAGCTGAAGGGTTGAAGTCCAGAAGGGTTATCAAGCGACCTAAACTCACAGACAACCACAAACGACTACGTCTAGCCTGGTGTAGACTGAGACAGAACTGGAACTTGAGGTCCTGGAGAAGAGTCCACTGGTCGGACGAAAGCAGGTTCCTTCTGCATGTTGTGGATGGCAGAGTGAGAGTATGGAGGCGTCCTGGAACAGATTATACTGCAAGAAACATCATGCCAACTGTACCATATGGAGGTGGATCTGTTATGGTCTGGGGATGCTTCTCATTTGATTGTAAGCTTGATTTAGTGACCATACGAGGCAACTTGACAGGGGAGCGCTACATCCAAGAGGTGCTGAATCCAGTTGTGGTGCCCCATTTTGACAATCATCCACTGGCCACCAGACCGATATTCATGGATGACAATGCCAGACCACATCGTTCACGAGCTGTGACCCAGGTTATCCACAACAATGCTCTGACGCAGATTCCATGGCCAGCAATGAGTCCAGATCTGAATCCTCTGGAACATGTATGGGACATTTTGGGACGCCTGATTTATCGTCGGGACCCTCCTCCACAGAACTTGCGTGAATTGGAAGCAGCATTACACGAGGAGTGGCAGCAGCTGCCCATGGAGAGATTGCAGCGTCTTGTGAGGAGTATGAGACGAAGACTTCAAGCTGTGATCCAAGTGCTTGGTGGAAGTTCTCGATATTGACTTACTGTGTTCGTCAAATCTCCATATGACATTCTTACCCTATTGGATGAATTTGGTCACTAAAAATTATTGAGATGTCACCATACTTAATGCGTCTTCGTTGTTCGTTCATTTTTCGTAAAAGTTCAGCATGAGATTATTACATGCCATAAGGTCATGGAATACCCCATTTAAGTTCATTGTATAGACAATACACTGGTTTGTTGGTATACACGAAATCCTGGTTATAATATTAATTCGGTTATCTTTACACCCTTTCAAAACACCCCTCCATGAAAAAGTATAGGGGGTGCAACACTTTTTTTACTGTGTATACTTACATCAGACAAGTATGTTCGGAAACCTAGTTATGCTACGTTTACATCAATAAGATGGAAGGCGTAATATATATTTGCCGCACAAAACATTATACGTACTATTAAAAGAAGCCAAGAAGGATTACATATGCACCTGACCGCCTCCGTGGTCTAGTGGTAGAGCGTTCGCCGGAGAGCGGAAGGTCCGGGGTTCGATTCCAGGCCGCGTCATACCCAAAGACGTTAACACCCTGATAGTCCGGAAACCTTGTTAGTCAACCACCTGATAGTCCAGAAACCATGTTAGTCAACACCCTGATAGTCCGGAAACCTTGTTAGTCAACACCCTGATAGTCCGGAAACCTTGTTAGTCAACTCCCTGTTTGTCCAGAAACCTTGTTAGTCAACACCCTGATAGCCCGGAAACCTTGTTAGTCAACATCCCGATATTCTTCCCGAGGCAAGGGAAATGTTAATGTTCAGTTACCACCCTTGCTGAACTAGGCTTGAATTTCTGGGCCCGATCAAAGCTATTACCAGTTATGATATTGGCCAATCAGATTTGATCCATCATACTACTTACATTTGCTTCAAATGAAATTTGTGCCCAGTCAAACAATCAGATAGATAATCAAGATCTATATTGATGGGTCTTATCAGTGTTCGAAATACCTGCCTGCCCGACCGTCCGAGACGGGTTGATTTCAACTCGGGCTGCCAGATTTTCAAATTCCCCTGCCCGACGGTCGGGTTATATTTCATATGTGAACATATTCTAAATATTTCCCGATGATAAGCATTAATTCACATGTAAAGATGAATGATAAAATGTAACCAAAAAGAAACCCCGTAAGCTTATCCTGAGAAACATATGATTATAGTGGGCAGGCGGGTTTTGGTCAGGGCTGGCAAGTATTTCAGGTAGCCAGTCCTGTGGACTGGCTGAAAGTTTTGGGAGTTTCATACCCTGGTCTTATTCGCGAAGACCGCCTCCGTGGTCTAATGGTAGAGCGTCTGCCAGGAGAGCGGGGGTCCGGGGTTTGATCCCCGGCCGCGTCATACCAAAAGAAGTTTAAAGATTGTACTTGTTGTTACCCTGTCAGGCGCTCGGCATTAAGGGGCTAAAACAAGGACTGGTCGGATTGGAGTCGGTATACTGTGTCTGAGTGGGGTATTCATGTTAAACTGCGGCATGGTATCTCAGTGTGCTAGCACTATAAATCGGCATCAGTCCGGACTGGTACAAGCAGCCACACAAACACATATACACGTACATGCACGTCGCTATATAAGTGCAATAATCTTGGCCGCGACGTTAAACCCAATTTCACCCCACCTCACCGGACTAGCACACACACACACACACACACACACACACACACACACACACACTTATATACATAAAAGAGCAATAATCTTTTGACGCGACGTTAAACCCCATTTCACATCACCTCAACTCACATATGCACCTGATTAAGCCCTTATACTGCCACAGCACTTAATAATAACACATAAATATGCAATTCACACATAAACATTACTAATTATAACCTGGGATAAATGGAAATACATCCAGCGATGATAACACTGACTTGCACTCAAGTGAAGACTCCAATGAAAGTGTAAAAGTAAAATGAGCCTATGGTGACGAGGAGACGTTTCCGCCAATCGGTGCCATTTTCGCCAGGTGACGTTTTGCTGAGATGCCGCTTTAGCTATAATCCACTAGAACCCCAGTGACACAAGCGCCATGTTGACTGCCCTACTGCAGTTGTGAAGGTGAAATGCAGTGCCATTTTCGCCCGAGAAATCGGTGACGTTTTGCTGACCTGCCGTTTTAGCCTGCACCTGTTGTGAAGCCAGAAAAGATTGAGTGGTTGAACAGGACTAACACTTAGGAAATGAAATGAAGTTGAAATTAAAATACACTTGATAATATATACATAATCACATTCTATTACAGAGTTATGCGGTAAGGTATCGCACCACCGACCTACAGCTCTCACTTGAGCTGGCAGACGCGCTATCCACTATTCTATGTTATTAACATAAATCAGTTCACCTGTGCATTCTGCGTTTTATCCATGGATACAAATATATGAACAAGGCTCCATGAACAAGATATGACAATAAGTATCTTTTCATAGCAGATTAAGTGAAGGAATAATGTTGTTTTATCGGCTGCACAATGTTTTAGAGACAATTCTAAAGATACCAAAACGTTTCCTTGTCAAATTGCGCTCAGTCTTTGAATTATCATCTCTTCAGATGTTGATATATATATGAAAACGTTGATAATTCTGAAATGAATGTTCCGGTCGACGGGCGCCCCAAGCCTTGAACCTGGGTAATGGTACCTAAACAGCTGCTAACGACAGACGGTGGACCCCGCTGATGATGAGAAGGGATTAGAGTGCTCTCTCTTTGTGAAGTAGATGGCGCTGACAAATTTATGCATGCGCAGTTCACATGTATCACCATTTTGCCGAAATGAGAGTGTAGAAAGTGAAGTACGGCTGAAAATGTGCTCTAGTTGTTAATATTGAAACAAGACAAAGGTAAACGTTTATGTTCTTTTGCATGAAGGGCTTTCGACGGCCAGGCGCCTGCTGTCCCCAGACAATCTGGTTTTGTGTGACAAAACATAAACACGAGACACAACAAAGATATAGGCCTATGTATGCAGCAGAGACATGGATTTAAAATTAGTGATATGGCACCTAACGAGTAATGTATCGCGTACGATTTTATATATCCTTCATATTTTGTATTGATGAACATACACATAAGATATGGCCACTTTACTAAAGCACTCATATCATGAACTCCCCTTGTAGATGTGAAAATGAATTGAATATTTTAGCATGTTTACATTCGTTGACCATAATTTCAGCCATTGAAACTTGCACAGTCCCAGCAAATAGTCCAAATGATATCCTTAGGGCAAGGAGAAGTACTCCGATTCAGCATGTTCTACTATACAAATGTTGTAATGGGGGCCAGGCAGGGTTGTGTCAGTGTGATTCATTGCTACACTAATCTGCCACCAAAGTGCATGCGTCCTGTCCAAGCTCTGTTACCAAGCCACCACCACCATCTGTGGTGGCTGGGAAATACATCACTTCAATTTCATCCCCAACAAACTTGACAAATAACATGATTACAGAGCTCCAGATAAGCTTTTGGTGTTGTGGGTATTTTACCCATGCATTTTAAAATCATTGGTTGTCAGTATTTCTATCTGGGTATTCAAATTTCTGTTACTCACTAGTTTTTACACATGTGGGTATTTAAGTTAAATATTTAAAAACACTATTCATCTAGTCCCTGCAAACTGGTGTCGTGTGGGTTTGAGAGCTTTATAGGACTCAAAAATACCACGATACTTCCACAAGAAAGTGTGATGGCAAATGATCATGATGTAACTGTCATCGTGCAGTTTGGCAAGCTTGACGGAATGCCGTTTATAATTTCAAAATAAGTTGCTGATTTGCTTATCGAATATGCAGGGTACTTCACAATATTTTGATGATACGCACAAGTTTATTTTTGTAGCGTATCTGTAATGTTCATTGCGTATTTGATACGCTTGGATTTTATTTTACTGCATTCCTGATGCGTATTTTACACAGATATGCAGTTCATCTGGAGCTCTCTGATTATCAATATTGCACAAACATGATAATAGTACTATCTTTTTTTCAGTTGAAAAAAATCGTGTTTTAATATATCAAGACTAAGACTTGAAAAAGTGATATACTGTATTCGACGTAATAAGCGCCCCACTCTAATAAGCGCCCACGGCGATATTTGCTAATATATTGACTAGTAAACAATCCCAATTAGCACCCCTTCAGATTGATCAATGTTCACAAGATTTATTTATTCGCGTATAATACGCACTCGTGTGTTATATGCACCCTTAATTATAGGCAATTAAATTCTGGAAAAATATATATGTCGTATATAAACATTTCAGGCTGTCAGCATAAACCACGAAATTTATCTTTCAACTCTGTTGTTTTTCACCAAAATAATATTCTAATAAGAGCCCCCTATTTCTCATTTTAGAGAGCGCCCTGGGCGCTTAATACGTCGAATACGGTAATCAGCATTATCACAAAGAATAAACGATATATGTATGTCATATTACTTGATAATTTATAACTCCTCTTATTTGGTTTCATGGCATATGTTAGAGAAATAAAGTTTTCACTACCCACTTGCTTAGTGTAAGAAACAATGGCTCTGCCCTGACCTATTATGGTTCAAGCTTAAGTTCAGGGTGTGATGATGCATTAAGTGGACTGCTCATAATAATCACTGGATTGTCTGGTGTAGACTAGATTATTTACAGGCTGCTGTCATAAAGCTGGAATATTGCTTGTCTTGTTATGTTAACATTGATCAACTCTCCTTTCCAGCATACTACAGGAGGTGAAGAGATGTATAACGGCATTGGCCTGACTACCCCTCGGGGTAGCGGCACGAATGGCTTTGTCCAACGCAATTTGTCGTTTGTACGCAAGCACAAGGACCGGGTGGACTATAAGTCTGAGGAGGAGATCCGAAAGCTGGACCAGTCCCTGCTGAAACAACCCAACCAGGACATCCTGGAACATGAGCGCAAGAGGAAAGTGGAACTCAAGTGTATGGAGATGCACGAACTCATGGAGGAACAGGGGTAGGTCTAACAAATGTTATATTTGGGATAACACTTTCTTAGTCAAGTACAGATTCTCGTACTTTTTGGGGGGGTTGTGAGTCCCGTCCGGAATTCGAACCCACACTTGCCAGAGTAAGGCACCTAATCGCCAGCACACAAAGTCAGCGATCTAACCCACTCAGCCACAGAGGCTTCCACAAAAATGAAAGTCCGACAACTGGTGGTCTAGATCACGTACTTTGAGTACCCCTCTGACAAGTGTAAACTGGCACAGCTCCCATGGCCGAAAGCCATGAATACACAATGCCTTCACACCAGTAGCTAGTAACACAAGCATGGTTTTTCTCATTCAATCAAGCCATAGTATCTCTCGTTCTGTCCAGCCAGGTGATATCGGTCCCCCTGTCTTGTAGTATCTCTTGTCCAGTCCAGTCAGGTGATAGTGGTCCCACTGTCTTGTAGTATCTCTTGTTCAGTCCAGTCAGGTGATGGCGGTCCCACTGTCTTGTAGTATCTCTCATTCAGTCCAGTCAGGTGATAGTGGTCCCCCTGTCTTGTAGTATCTCCTGTTCAGTCCAGTCAGGTGATAGTGGTCCCACTGTCTTGTAGTATCTCCTGTTCAGTCCAGTCAGGTGATAGTGGTCCCACTGTCTTGTAGTATCTCCTGTTCAGTCCAGTCAGGTGATAGTGGTCCCACTGTCTTGAAGTATCTCTCATTCAGTCCAGTCAGGTGATAGTGGTCCCCCTGTCTTGTAGTATCTCCTGTTCAGTCCAGTCAGGTGATAGTGGTCCCCCTGTCTTGTAGTATCTCCTGTTCAGTCCAGTCAGGTGATAGTGGTCCCCCTGTCTTGTAGTATCTCCTGTTCAGTCCAGTCAGGTGATAGTGGTCCCCCTGTCTTGTAGTATCTCCTGTTCAGTCCAGTCAGGTGATAGTGGTCCCCCTGTCTTGTAGTATCTCCTGTTCAGTCCAGTCAGGTGATAGTGGTCCCCCTGTCTTGTAGTATCTCCTGTTCAGTCCAGTCAGGTGATAGTGGTCCCCCTGTCTTGTAGTATCTCCTGTTCAGTCCAGTCAGGTGATAGTGGTCCCCCTGTCTTGTAGTATCTCCTGTTCAGTCCAGTCAGGTGATAGTGGTCCCCCTGTCTTGTAGTATCTCCTGTTCAGTCCAGTCAGGTGATAGTGGTCCCCCTGTCTTGTAGTATCTCCTGTTCAGTCCAGTCAGGTGATAGTGGTCCCCCTGTCTTGTAGTATCTCCTGTTCAGTCCAGTCAGGTGATAGCGGTCCCCCTGTCTTGTAGTATCTCCTGTTCAGTCCAGTCAGGTGATAGTGGTCCCCCTGTCTTGTAGTATCTCCTGTTCAGTCCAGTCAGGTGATAGTGGTCCCCCTGTCTTGTAGTATCTCTCGTTCAGTCCAGTCAGGTGATAGCGGTCCCCCTGTCTTGTAGTATCTCTCGTTCAGTCCAGTCAGGTGATAGTGGTCCCCCTGTCTTGTAGTATCTCTCGTTCAGTCCAGTCAGGTGATAGTGGTCCCCCTGTCTTGTAGTATCTCTCGTTCAGTCCAGTCAGGTGATAGCGGTCCCCCTGTCTTGTAGTATCTCTCGTTCAGTCCAGTCAGGTGATAGTGGTCCCACTGTCTTGTAGTATCTCTCGTTCAGTCCAGTCAGGTGATAGTGGTCCCCCTGTCTTGTAGTATCTCTCGTTCAGTCCAGTCAGGTGATAGTGGTCCCCCTGTCTTGTAGTATCTCTTGTTCAGTCCAGTCAGGTGATAGTGGTCCCCCTGTCTTGTAGTATCTCTTGTTCAGTCCAGTCAGGTGATAGTGGTCCCCCTGTCTTGTAGTATCTCTCGTTCAGTCCAGTCAGGTGATAGCGGTCCCCCTGTCTTGTAGTATCTCCTGTTCAGTCCAGTCAGGTGATAGTGGTCCCCCTGTCTTGTAGTATCTCCTGTTCAGTCCAGTCAGGTGATAGTGGTCCCACTGTCTTGTAGTATCTCTCATTCAGTCCAGTCATGTGATAGCGGGCCCCCTGTCTTGTAGTATCTCCTGTTCAGTCCAGTCAGGTGATAGTGGTCCCCCTGTCTTGTAGTATCTCTCATTCAGTCCAGTCAGGTGATATCGGTCCCCCTGGCTTGTAGTATCTCCTGTTCAGTCCAGTCAGGTGATAGTGGTCCCCCTGTCTTGTAGTATCTCTCATTCAGTCCAGTCAGGTGATAGTGGTCCCCCTGTCTTGTAGTATCTCCTGTTCAGTCCAGTCAGGTGATAGTGGTCCCCCTGTCTTGTAGTATCTCCTGTTCAGTCCAGTAAGGTGATAGTGGTCCCACTGTCTTGTAGTATCTCCTGTTCAGTCCAGTCAGGTGATAGTGGTCCCCCTGTCTTGTAGTATCTCCTGTTCAGTCCAGTCAGGTGATAGTGGTCCCACTGTCTTGTAGTATCTCTCATTCAGTCCAGTCAGGTGATAGTGGTCCCCCTGTCTTGTAGTATCTCTTGTTCAGTCCAGTCAGGTGATAGCGGTCCCCCTGTCTTGTAGTATCTCCTGTTCAGTCCAGTCAGGTGATAGTGGTCCCCCTGTCTTGTAGTATCTCCTGTTCAGTCCAGCAAGGTGATAGCGGTCCCACTGTCTTGTAGTATCTCTCATTGAGTCCAGCCAGGTGATAGCAGTCCCCCTGTCTTGTATCTTCTGTTCAGTCCAGTCAGGTGATGGCGGGTCCCCTGTCTTGTAGTATCTCCTGTTCAGTCCAGCCAGGTGATAGCGGTCCTCCT